AGCATAATTGATTTCGGCAAAGAGAGGATTCACGAGAGACCACAATAGCTTTTCTATGCCAATTCGTAGATGAGAGCTTTCAGAGTTCTTCCTGTAGTTGCGATGAATTGTTTCTTAAAGCTTTCAGATTTTGCTACTGCATGGCAAGAGAAGTTACAGAGGATACAATAATGTGTGAATTCTTAATAGTCTTCATGTGGATAAAAGACCATAAGAAAAGTATCATGTTGTCCAGTTTCCAGAACGATAACATCTCTTGAAGAAAAATCTGTCTAAATAGATTATTTATTTATTTTATTCGATTATAATTTATTGTTCCCACCAATAGCGAAGATAAGATAAAGTAATATCCCAAAAAATATTTCACTAAAAACGTTTTCCAAAGATAGTTTGTTTATTAAAATATCAAGATTATCCTTGCAAATTGGTTCATGAGAATCAAAGCGAAGGATCAATAAATTAAACAAAATTACTTGACAACTCTGGCTAAACAATATAATTCAATACATACTTCCTTTGTACATTCTAATTCAATAAAGATGTCTGAGATTAGCGGTAGATGTGAAGGAGATAATCTATGCATAATATTACATAAAAATTTCTGTTATACCAGCAGTATGAAGAATAATCGAGAAAGGCTGTAAATTGCAGTCGTTTGGCCCTAGCTTGTCGAAAATGTTAAGACTGTAAGGATAAGAGGAAGCAAAAGTTTAATTTCCAGTGATAATGACACTATAAAGTTTATGAAGCACGAGATAATATCAGAGCATATTAATATTAGAAAAAATATGAGGGCATATTTATCTAGATTGTAGTAGAGAGTTGGAAAGCACATAATGTCCAGTTGCCTTTCGATATACTAAAACTGATGTCGGCCAACAGCTACTCTGAATGCTCAAGGAAGACTCATTATCTTTGGTAATATCCACTTCTTCTTCTGCCTCTGCAATCTTTCCTTCCCCTCGGCTCATATTCTTACTCCAGAATCTGTTGTCACTTGTCCTGGCCCCAGTTGAGGTTGATAATCCTGGCATCGGCATACAAGCTGTTGCCCAGCGACCGATACGACCAGCCGAGCTACCTCCACCAGAGGGCCTATTCAATCCTAACGATTCGGCTGCTTGAGATACCGGTGTGATGGAAGGTCCATTTATATTGTCGGCAATACTCAAGGGGCCTGGCAAATATCTGGCTACCAAAGCAGAATCAGGAAGCCGGCAACCTATGAAATAGTATGAAAACTAAATGCATTCAAACGGTCTTTTGAATAATTTATGCAGTCAGCTATGCAGGAATTAGAATTAACTTAATCACACTATGAATTTGTTTGTATAAGTCAAACTAGTGCGCGAAACTAGAGGGAAAATTTGTAGCATCGCTCAAATCTATATCTGCCTAGATCTCACAAAAGCATGCTGGGTTAATGTTATCTTTTGTGCATATGGTTTTTAAAAGATGTAAGTCTACACTACCTTATGTGATACAGTTAAGCTAATGACTATGACGCAAAATGTTTTAGGTTCAGGTATAAAAACCTATGCTGAATTACTTCCCGTATATATTTTGGTGTTATATGTAAAGTAGGAACCAAAAGTCTGAGTCTGGCAAGAATTGAGTTTATTTATTATTTATAAAATCTAATACAACTTTATACTCTGTTTAAGATAATCGAACAAGATAACGTAATATTTATTTTTAAGTAGAGTTTTGAGACTACAAGTAAATCAGTAATATGAGATGTATTTACCCTATTTTGTTTAAGATGATGAAGGACTGGTAGTAGAATTTTTCCACAATGATATGAATAAAGCTGAGGCTTCCATTGAATTTCACATAGCCTTGCTTTCCCAAAAGTTTTTATCATCCAGAGTTGACTGCAGTTTAGACCTCGTCTTATCAACACTCCCAGCGGGAGTCGAACCTTGACAGTTCAGCGTGTAAACTCGCCACGTTG